TTCTCCCTCTGACCCTCCTCCCTCTCATGTACTCTCTCTCTCTCTCACTCTCTCAAATAAATAAATAAAATCTTAAAAAAAAAAAAAAAAAAAAAAAAGATTTGCAGACGGAGGCCTGCCTGGTGGTGCTTACTCACGTTAGGTAAATGCATCTTGTTCTGCCTTAGGATTAGGAGATCTTACTGCTCTATTTAGCCTGGGCAGCTCTGTGTCATGGCATTTTGTAAAAAATGAGATTTCTACTTCTCTTCCATATTGAAGCTACCAACTGTATTTTTATACCATCCACTCTTACAACGGTAATGCAGAGCACACAATGACAAACGGACAAAGAACTGTGTTGAGAGGTCTCACGTCACCTGCTCGTGACTGTGGTCAGACGGTCACCTGCTTCTCGTGGACCCTTCCAGAGAGATCTGTGCGCTCGGACGTGTGTGTGTTACCTTGACTTTTTCTTTAAACTTAACGATGTGTTTTGACGTCTTTCCATAGGAGAAAATCAAGCCACCTCCTTCTGTATGACGGGTGCACGGTACCACGGTATGGAGATGCTGTTATTCAGTGAGCCCGCTTCCTAATGGTGGACATTGAGGCTTCTTCCTAAATTCTTTCCCCAGGACAACAATGTTGTGAAATAATCCTGCATTTTTCACTATAATTTTATATTTTTCTGTCTGTATATTCACAGGTCAAAACTACAGTTCTTCAAGTCCTATAGCTTTATCATGTTTGTCTTTTTAACATCCTTTCTAGGATTAGGATAGAATTTTACTATTATTTTTCAGTAGTTCGGTTAGTTCAGTTTTCAAGTTAGTTTTAGAAGGTTCTCGTTCTCCCCCACCCCTGAAAATTCCCATCATCGAGTTTTGAACACGTATGTTCGATTTAGAGATAACGTGGGGAAGATTCACGCCTTTATGATGCAGGGTTTTCCCATCTGAGAACAAGGGATGTTTTCCCATGTGTTCTTTTGTTTCTCACGTAGCACCAGGAGGTTGCCTTCAACTGAATCGTGCCTGTTTCTTCTTAAATTGATTCTTCCGAATCTCATGTTTTTGTTGCAGTTGGAACTGGGGCTCTTTTCTTCCATTGTATCTCCTGTTTGTAGACAGATTTTTTTTTTTTTTTTTAATGCGACGTGTAGCCAGCCACCTTCCATGATTTCTCAAGTTTTTTTACAAATCAGTACATATGAACGCGATCTCTCATAGCAGCAGCTCACTGGATAAGGCTGCTTGGACCGCCGACAGTTCAGGTCTCCTCGGGAGACCGAGCATCTTAAAGGAGTTCATTTTATAGCAAGACAGTTCATCACCCAGTCGTGGCCAAGGGGAGAACACTGATCCTGAGTGTGTAACTTAGTATTCATGCTTGACCATTCGGTCGGTTCATCAAAGAGACGCGTTTTTAGGAGACCAAAAATATATCGTCTTTCTTGCAAAACCATAGCAGACGTGTGTCTACACACCTGTGAGGGATGGATGCAGAGTGTGTGGACAAGTCCAGTCAGAGTAACAGTAAGACATACGGAAATCATCATGCGGTGCTGCGGCTGGATCTTCGGGACACAGAGCACGATCTGTGCGCAGTTCCCCGTCTGTGCTATTCCTCTCTCCCTTCCGGCAGCCGTGTCTTAGCCATGCTGGCTTTCTAGCAGTTTCTAACACTTGACAATTCTCTCCCGTACAAGACCACTGGGCTTGCTCTCATTATGCTGGGGGCTTCTCCTCCTCCAAGGAGGCTCACCTGTCAGCGCTGCAGAGACCCCTCCTGGGACCCCGCTTCTAAAGCTACCCCCCCCCAGTTCTTCCTCACAGCACCCCTGCTGGACTCTGCTAGAAGGCGGGGACTGCACATGGTACACAGGGAACCGGCATTAATGCTGATTCAAAGAGTAATAAATAGGAGGGCGGGGGGAGGGGGGGGAAGAGGGAGAGAGACAGAGAGACGGAGAGACGTACCTCAAATATTTCAAATCCAGCAATGTCCAGGATTCCGATGAAAGATGCTCCCTGACGCTTGGTCCTGTCCAGAGCTTTGTTGATCCGGTGAACGAGCCAGCGAAAGAGCCGCTCGTACGTAGCTTTTGCCAACGCCTCTACTGCAAAATCTGCCTGTAATTAGACGAAATCAACCTTTTATTCTGCAGACGATCTCAACAGAGCATCACCGGGTGTCACTTGGAGTTTAATGTGCTCCCAAAACCCGAAAGAGCATTTGCTACTGAACCCTGTCTCCCTTTTGTATAGCACCGGAAGGTGTTAGCACAATTAAATGTAAACTGGAGGTAACCGGTTTCGGGGAAAGGTGAAGATGCCCAGGAAAAATAAAGCCCTCATGACGCCCCTGGGACTCGGCATATCGGCCCCGACTCCTACAATCTTGGTGCCGGGCCACCCACACGGGGACCAGCGAGCAGCGCGCCCCACCGCGGGTGGACTTCTGATGCAGACGACCTATGTACCTGGGGGAACCCGAAGGTGACATTTCACATTTACTTTTTAAACAGTTACCTTTAAAGTTTTTCTGAAAAAGAGAAAACGGAACAACATACAGTACCAAGAACCACCTGTTACAGGGAGCCCTGATTAACGTTTGTTACACGCGGATGGGAAGGTCTCAGGACGACGGCCTGTCATTCAAACAAACGTGTGCTGACAACGCTGAACTTACCTGCTCTTTGGTCTGGGCTTTCTGCACGTAGTCTCGGCCGACCTTGATCCGGGGGGTGAGGATGGCCCGAGTAAACTCCATCACGTTCATGCCCAGGAGATGGCAGAGTTTCTGTGCAACTAGAGTGTGAAAAGTCTCCTAAGCACCAGACTCCCACCTGTGATCTAGTCACGACATACTCAGTAAGAAGCCTTATCGAGAAATGAACTGAGTAAGTCTTCAAGAAGGACAAGGCTCGGGTCTTCCGTCCTCTCAAGTGAATGCCGCTCGCTCTTAGGTAACACAAGACGGGCAGCAGGTCCTTATTCTGGGCAGTTTACCGGGAACCCACGGGGGACGCCCAGGAGGAGGCCTGAGTCCGTGTTTAACGTTTCGAAGCTGGGAGATTTCATATTAAAATCTAGATTTCCTTGAAAAATATCGACAATATTTGGCAACATGGGGCCTGTACTCCTGGCAAGGGAACAACTGTCCAGAATCCTAACCTACAGCCCCCGTTCGGGGGGAGCCTCGTGGGCTCCGCGGCGTGTGGCCCCCGGTGCTGGGGCGGGGTCTCCCCCGCCACCCTGGCTCGTCCCTCCCTCAGGGGCTCACCGGGCGGCCACCCCACTCCACACGGCTCCGAGGGAAGCCTCACGAGCTCGCTTCCATGCACACTGCACCCCGCGCTCGGAGAACACGCGACAAGCCGCACGACACGGCCACCACATCCACACACCACCACGAGCAAGACCCGCACTGGCCCGTGTACCTGTATTTTCCGGCATGGACGCCTGATCCGTATTTCGCTCCTTTTTGAAAGAAATATTTCCGAACTGGAGCACTGAAGACACTACTTTAAGCATTGCTTTATATGGATGTAAAAAGGAAAAAAAAGAAAAAACAGAAGTATTGCCTCAAAACGGAGCAGAGACATAGCCTCACTTATTCTGTGCTAAAAAATCAGCTACACGGAACTCTGTCGGTAAATTCCCGGCTCCCGGGAACTTGTACAATCAGGGGTGGTTCTCGTGATTTGCCCGGTCGTCTTCTGGCTCACGTGTCCCCCCCCTCACCCCCCCCCTAGTTACCAACTTAGGATGGACAGCCCCCCCCCCCCCCCCCCCCCCGTGCAAGTCTTATCTAAGGAGCAGCCGACTCGCAGGGAAAGCCCACATACACAGAATCTCCTCGTGAGAGAAGCCCATGATGTGCATCGCCTCCATGGTCTCCTGGAAGTTATCTTTGTCTTGCTGCCCCGGGATGGGGATGTAGCCGTTGGAGAGGAATCTGTAGTTATTAAACCCTTCGAGGAGCAAATCCGCTGGAAGGGAAGAGAACGGGATGCGGTGTAACGTCCGCCCACGGACAAAGCATGCCCACTGGTGCCCGGGGCTGATCGCAGGGGAGCGGTGGCTCGCGTCCTCCCCACCACCACACGCTTCCTGCCACACTTTTTCTTTCTTCGTAGATGCATTTCAAAACCACACACCGTTTTCCGTCCTCCGCGTCAGTGAGGGAAAATGAGGGGGTCAACTAAAAACCGCAATCGGAGTTTTGGGGACAGTGGTTTACCGGCTCCATGAAATCGGTAACCGGGAAATGATGGATGTACGTTTTCCAGGTAACTCAGCCTTACTGTTTTCAGACTTAAGTATGTTAGGCATCTTTTCAGGGAAAGTTTTTAAGCCCTAGAGCCGATAAGCCTATGTTAGCAAAGCAGTTGAAAGCAGACATTACGGGACCAATATGACGACGACATGAACATAAAGACCAGACGTGGACGGTATAGACCCCCATCCCAGCCAACGCCCCGAAACCCTTTCTCCGAGCCAGTCTGTTGGGCAGGAAGTTTGCCTTTGTGAGTGATGCAATACCTGTATGTACGATGGGCTATTCTAACGGCCGCCCCCGTTGATCACTTGTGTTTTAGGAGCCGTGAGTCAGAACTCAACGTTTGCTTTCGAGAAGTGTGTTCTTCGAGAGGAGCAGGATGTTTCTCAGGGGGGATCAGAAGAGACAGGGCTACTGATCCGCACACCAGATGTTATGATGTGCTCTTCTGCAGACTTTCTGCCGAGCAGGCCGAGCCCTCAACCCTTCCCTCTCTCGTATTTCACCTGCACTGGGTACTGACTGCCTTTCTCTTTCTACCTCCTTCTTGTAACACTTTGATCTAATTATTATTATTTTTTGATTCATTACTAGTGCAGAGTTATTGCCAGTCTGAAAGCCTGAGGTTTTCCTCCTCTTGAGCATCACATACGGTCATCAGCTTGAACGCCTAGTTTCTCATGACAGTGATTCTATTAATTTGTGGCTCATTTTTTTTTCCTTGTGGGTCTCTCTCTCATTTCTGGGCTCAATGCTTTCACAGGTGTCTGTGGTTAGCAAGAGCCTGGGCCCTGGGTGACAGGAGAGTACAAGGACCGTGTCTGTTGGGATCTCTGGAGAACACCCATAATGGTCACATCGAAGGAGCACTGAATTCAAGACTCAGAAGAAATCAGGAAGTTGTGCATCTTCCCCTCGCCCTCAAATACCTCTGATCCAGCAAACTTCTGACCCGGAACTTTGCCCCCAACCAGTCCCTAAGCTTTCAGTCCTTAGGATTCAAGACAAAATAAATAAAAGTCCATTATAAGCTCCTTCTAGTATTTGTGGAAGCATACAAATATATTTAATTGTAAACCTGGGAATAAAGATATTTACTGAGTGTAACTTTATTATTTTTTCTTACTTTTTATCCTTACAAATGTTGAGACAGAACTTGTGTAAAAATCCATCATTTGTCTTCTAATTTAAAACTTTTAAGTTTTTTTATCTTTATTTGAGAGAGAGCGAGAGCACAAGCTGGAGGAGGGGCAGAGGCAGAGGAAGAAGCAGACTCCCCGCTGAGCAGGGAGCCCGATGCGGGGCTCGATCCCAGGACCCCGGGATCACGACCTGAGCCGAAGGCAGACGCTTAACGGACTGAGCCACCCAGGCGCCCCTAAAAATTTCTTTTAAAGAAAAGAAATAAACATAGAGAAGATAATGTAACACTGCCCACATAACTGCCACTTAAAATCAGATATTTCTCCCATGGCATGGAAGTTCAATTTCATTTCCATTTTGGGGTGTATACGAAATGACAGTGAACCCCAGGACAAGACAGGAGGAACCACAAAGGTCCGCCCACACACGCGTTTTTCCCGCAGAGTCCGGTTCTGTGAGTGTGTGCTCTCTTCCTTAGGATTTTCTTAGCATTTCTTCCTCCAGTTTGCTTTGTTGTAAGAATGCAGCATATTGGGGCGCCTGGGTGGCTCAGACGGTTAAGCGTCTGCCTTCGGCTCAGGTCATGATCCCAGGGTCCTGGGATCGAGTCCCGCATCGGGCTCCCTGCTAGGTGGGGAGC